CGGGAGCGTACCCAATATTCATGGGGGTCATGAACTGAATATGATGACGCGCTCCCGCGTTGCCTATACTACAGCGAGGCGTTTCGGGACCGAAAATTCCTGGAGGGTACCCTGGCTCCCCTCACCCGCCAACTCCCTTCCGCTCTGGACACGATACTTCCGAGTCCACCAGGGAGCCCAGAACGCCAGAATTCTTGCTCTCTCGGGCCCTGACGCTCTTCGACTTGAACTTTCTGCTGGCATTCGCAAATGCAGTCTCGAATGGTTGATCTCGCGGTCTTTAGACCGACGGCGACCTTAAAAAAGTATCCATTTCGGAAATCCGAACCTACGCTGTCAATCCCCGCAAACGGTTCTCTCCCTTTTTCACTGCATGGGGCACGTGGGCGAGAAAACTCCGATCATAGTCCATCTCGAGGGACATCGGGACAAGCAGTTGAATTACACGACTCCTTGGATGGATGTTCAGACCTGGAGATCGGATAACGTTCCTATCTGTGATCACTGATCACGATGAGAATGTCTCAATCCCCGAATATTCAGACTACCTAGCTCCCTGTATTCTGGGATAAGTAATCGGAGATCAGAGCAAGTTACGAGCCGAAACGGAGTGCCGCCCAAGAGTCCTGTGAGCATGATCGTTAATCCTCACTCATTATTTCAGTGACGCCTCTATTTTGAGCCTGGGTACAAAGATCATCTGAAGCCCGGATATCTGAGAGCTCTGCATTGACTGGGGTCACAAGGAACCCAGGAGAGGTAGACCTCGATGACTGCAAGCATTGCGACGAGAATATTCGTAGTCTCGCCGAGAGTCTACAGTCGTCCGAAGCGAATGCTCGCTACTAGGATGTCCCACAAAAAACCTAATCGACAGTCCCGTATTATTCCCGTCTGTGGCAGAAGAAAGATATCTCCTCTCGCCGCAAAGAAATAACGCAAGACCTTCCGTTCACCTGACTATTTATAATTTTCAGACATACACAGTCGATACCGTTATGGTACGCATGCAGCGGAGGCTTGAATTCCGCTTCACTAGAATCCCCCGCCGCCGCCACCACCGCCTCCTCCGAAACCGCCGCCGCCTCCTCCGAAACCACCGCCACCTCCTCCGAGACCACCGCCACCGCCGCCTCCTCCGAAACCGCCGCCTCCACCGCCACCCGCATCCGCTCCGTAATGCCCGTGGTGAGGTATGTAATGGGCTTGGTACTGTTTCCCATGGTCGTGTCCATGATAACCATGCGGATGTTGGATGTGAACTTTGTAATTCCAGTGCTCTCCTCTCGGGTGGGAATGAGGCTCATGGTATCCGTAACCGCCCCCTCCACCGCCACCTCCAGCACCGCCACCTCCACCACCGCCCTGAGCTAGAGCAAGAGCTGCGAGTGCGCATAGCGTTGCAGTGCGGACCCACAACATGTTTATGGCGGTAAGCACTGTCGACTGCACCGTCTGGGAAAACGACGAGTGTCTTATATGACATGACACTGACCATTGGTCTGGATCGCAGAAGAAGACCGGCTCTCGAAGAGCAAAAACTCCGGACCCTCGTCCGATTTACGCTTGAGGCAAACACAGAACAAAACTGGACCGACAGTCTAGTCGACTCGGCAAGCGAAAAAGCGGATGCCCTTGCTGTCATGTTATCTAAGCTTTTACGCTTGTTGCCTTTCAATAGTGCCGGGCCCTCGAACCACGGGGTGACAGCTTTCCGCGTTGTGTGTCTCAGTCAGCCCACGGACCCCTCTTACAATCAAATCTTGATGTAATTTCGAAGACCCAGGAAATAAGATGGCTTCTGGGGTCCCGTGTTTTCGTGTATGTTCCGATGCGGATCCTCGAGCTTTATCCATTCGGCCACATCTATTCCAGTCCCTCGATCGGATCTCAGCCGAGTCGATCCGAAGCTTCGTCCCCCTCCCCCGAGATGAGCATGCTTGCTATAGGTAGGGAGAAGGGCTTCTATCGTCTCGACCGGCTCCCACGAAGACTCTTGATTTCACGATGAGCGACAACAGTGCGTGTTTCGGAGTTTGATTTCATCTAAGTTACCGATTCGATCTGCCCCTAGTTAGGTCTCGAACTCCGCGTGTCGGGACCTGATCCCTTATCTGCAATCGAGGAAGCACCCGATTCTTCGGAGCCGGCGGGAGAAAAATATGCGGTAGGTTGTCGAATGCAGTGAGACTCGAAAAGTAGTGGGCTGCGTTTCTTTTTGTTTGGCATACTGGTAATGACTTGTCGTTGTGGGACTTCTCTGCCTGCCGCTCCGACGTTTCGAGAGGTTGATTCGAGCGTGACCGGTATAGACTATTTTGAATAGCAGCTGCGGCGGAAATATCACCCTGCAAACGAGTTTTCCAGCGCTATTTGTCAAATGATTGACGTCGGAAACAGGAGAGCTACGAATAGAAAATGATACTAGATATGAATTCTCAATAGTCAACACTTTCCGGTGATTTGAGCACGAGTTGATGCGAAGCTCTCAGTTTCCATTATGTTCGGTCGGAGTCAAGTGCTACTCGTTGTCGGACTGGTCGTCGTGGCGGTGGGGATTCGGTTCCCCAACCCCCTTCTCAGCTATGTGAGTGCCGATGAAGCCGAGTTTTTTATTCTGAAGGAAAATTTCTCTGGCTCGCTTCTTCGTTTGATTTCATCTTGGACTCTGCAAATGACATCGAGTGAATCAATTTAAATATTCAGTGCGACATGACATGCTTACCTCTTCGGCAGATGACTCGGTTCTGCTACAACTCTATCTCGCCCGGCATGCAGAGCCAATGTGTTATGTGCAGCTACGTGAACTTCCCTCAGACAACTCAGCAGTGCACGGGGAGTGTAAGGAGCTTTCAGCTGATTCCTCCATGCTATGAGAGACCCTTTGGGAAGCGTTGACATGATCGATCGGAAAACTTCCACTGATTCCAATGGTATTTTGCAGTCTGCCTTGTCCAGCAATGTGTCGAGCACCCAAGCATTCTGCCTCATATCAGCCTGCCTACAGGTGGGCTTTCTGTGGAGAATTCCGAGACATAATGGCTCCCCATTCCAACGCTTTCTCAGAAGTCGAGTATACGCTCCAAATTTATTTTCAGCAAGTTCGACAAACCCCCGTATTCATCGGTCGGAGGAGGAGACGGTCTTTGGCCGGGGTCCTATCCGAACACTGGGTCGACGTCGTCCTCGACGACGAGTCTTCCTGAGCTGTTCCCATGACGCCGAAATTCAATCACCGTTCCATTCTCCCTACAACTTCTGGAGAATTCTCGTCATGGCGTGACATGGTAGTCGCGTGATATGGGCATATTTTCAGGGCTCTGATTCACCTCTTGCGTTGTTCGAAGGATGGTGCACCACTTCCTGGCTCTTTGGAATCATCCAGATCTCTCTAGATCCAAGATGTTACGTAATCGGCAAGAATCCTCACAAGAGTTCGGGGGGAAAATTTGTTCAGATTCTCGAATTCCCTGATCACTGGAAGAGTCACTCGGTCGGTCAATTCCTCAACCGCTGCGATAATGATTAAACACTACGAGAAAAGGCGATCGAGTTTTCATTCCCGAAATATCTGTGGAGATATCTCCCGTATCATCGAATGCGGAATCCCGTCAATCCTAAATACCGGTTTTGTATCCGCTGAGCGCTCCTGGCCAGCTCCTGATTCGAATTATTCCCGAAGGAACCAAAAACAGGTGTTCTTGGGCAAGGGAATCAGTGTTTCTTCTGCGGCTATCCTCGGAGGTCTCCTCGGCTTCTTAGGAGCTGTCCGATAGTGTAGACAACCATTCGAAGCATCCCGTAACGCCAGAGCCGTCGTTGCGCGGGGGGAGCTTGACAAAAAGTCCAAGTATGAAACATTGCTGGATGAATACAGTCTCTCTCCATTCGTCATTTACACCGCGGGGGTGTGGGGCGAGGACGCCCGCAAGATGATTAAAGAGATCGGCAAGCGCATACTCGCCAGGGGAGGCGATAGCCGAGCGATGTCTTTCATAAGGCAGCGTATCTCTGTTGAGGTCCAACGCGGCAATGCTAGGATGTTATCGGGTGGTCCACGTCCGAGTCTCGCCCTCAGCGAGCTCGCGCTCCTGAGTGGCTAACTACCTATTGAAATTTCCTCGTCCATCTGGCTAAGTCCCCCAGAATGAATTGAAATTGACCATCCGAGTAATTGAATTTCCGAGAGCTTTGCCCGCGCCGCGAGTGAATGACGGAACGGGACCCGGCGGATCACCAGAGAAAAAGAGGTAAATTATCTCCCCGATTCCAGCGCCACAAAGAGATTCAGGTTCTATATTTATCAACTGGCTGACGTCGCAGAAGCTCGTCCGCTCGAATGAACGAGCGTATCTAAGAATAAGCTTCTTGGGCTGTCATGCTGGATCGCGGCAGATATACGGATCGCATTCCGGCTCCTGATTGCTGACCCCTCTCCCGCTCCTGATCGACATCGGTTGAGCCGAACTTCATGAGTCTCAACCATAAATCAATCCATGCCGCGCCACTGAGCTCAGCTCCGGACTCCCATGTCCCATGACGAGGGCGGGGTGTCTCGACTGTATAGGTTTCAGGGCTGATGCCATTGAATTACTCCCGGTTTGAAATTTGATCGACACTCGCTTCTTCGGAAACGCTGCTACCCAGCGAGTCGGGGCTTGAAGTCGTCGAGAGAGGTCAATGTGGAAGTTTGGCAAGGACCGACGAGTCCTCTCCGGGTAGGATCCTTTTGATGCGTTCCGTGAGGGCTTCTGTCTTCTAGTGAGCATGATATCAATTTCGAACAAAGACCACTGCGGAAGGTAGCCCCTCTCGAAATCGCAAGCCAACCTGAGATCTCGGATTCGGGAATTCCATATCAAATCCTGTCGGGTGAGCATCACGTCACCGTGATGCACACGGTATCGCAGGATACGATTCGCGATCTGCTTAGCAACCCGATAAGACCATTGAGACATCTTTCCAAGCCCCCAAAAACAACTCCAAGCGTGGAAGACTGCCGCCAGCTCTTTCGAACGCTCTAGAGCACAGAACCTCCTCTGTACGCAGAATATTGAGGAGATCTCACAATGGATTACGTGCTAGAAATAAGTGACGATTTACTGCTCGACCGTGTGTACGAGGCAGTGGTACCCTGTGATTCGTTTTTATCACCGTATCTGGTGCCGTTCAGCGGTGAGAGCCGAACGTGCATCGATGGATCACTTCTGCCGCGCGGAAATATATACCGACAGTATATTTCTGTATCTCTTGTCGTGTGGCTGCTCGGCGTGATCTTCTACTTCCTGTTCGCTCCGCTCTCATACTGGTTTCTCTTTGATAAACGAACGTTTAAGCATCCTAGATACCTGAGAAACCAGATTCGGATGGAGATCAGCTTAACCATGGCTGCTATGCCGGTGATGTCCTTGCTGACAGCGTTCTGGTTCGTGGCCGAGATCCGCGGCTATTCAAAACTCTACGGCGACCTTAATGAGCACGGACTCCTGTATCTGGCGCTCCAACTGCCTCTGATCGTTGTGTTCAGCGATTGCTTGATATATTTTATTCACCGGGGCTTGCACCATCGGCTGCTCTACAAGCATCTGCACAAACCACACCACAGATGGATAGTGCCCACGCCCTTCGCCAGCCACGCGTTTCATCCACTCGACGGCTATGTACAAAGTCTCCCCTATCACATCTTCCCCTTCCTTTTCCCCTTGAACAAACTCATGTATTTAGCCATGTTCGTATTCATCAATCTTTGGACGATAATGATTCACGACGGTGAGGCGTTCGCCAACAATTCCGTAATCAACGGCGCCGCTTGCCACACGGTACATCATCTTTATTATCGATACAATTACGGTCAGTTCACTACACTTTGGGACAGACTCGGCGGCTCTTACCGGAAACCCGACGAGGAGATCTGCGATCCCACTCTCAAGATGGCTAGCGGTACGTGGACGAAGCAAGTGTGCGAAGTCGATCAGATGATAGAGCGAGAAGAGGATGGAGATGACAGAACTTACCAAGGGAAAACCCTCGGAATCACGAACGAGTCATGAAACGAAGAGACACCCTCCGCCCTCAGGACCCCATCCGAAGCCGTCGAGGTCGCCGATACTCCTGTAGTCCTTGGTGTCACGGACCATGGCCTATCCTCGTCTTCCGACCGATAGAACTCGACTCAACTGTAGTCAGCCCTCCCTTCATTGGAGCAGCAGCGGTGATGAGCAATGGAATTTTGAGTAATAAAAAGCCGTCGTTGACTTTTTCGAAAAGATGTGATCTTTGAGATGTAGAAGACCTGGTTGCCGGCTATCCGGATTGGGAGTGGAGCTCGCATAGCCTGAACAAGTTGCATTCCCGTAAGATGAACGTGCGGGGAATTGGCGAGCTGCCATCGATGTCAGGATTCCTCAGCTCCAGAATCACTGGAATTGGATATCGAAAATTTTGTCGGTCATTCCACTGTGAGGACGCGCGAAAACATAAGAGTGGAGCTCGAGCAGAAACTTTTCTCGCGTTCGAGGACTCGTGACGTGCAGGAAATCAGGAGGATGAATAGATCAGCTCCTTTCGCGATTGTATGGTCAGACTCTTCTACAAGCTCGATGCGGATTCGGCAGCGCATGTAGGAGATGTCACGTAGACTCTGCACGTGGATGCGCGCGGGGGAAGAGAGGTACACAAAAGGACCGTACCGCTCCGGTTAGAAGGCTACAGCAGCCGCGTGCAACGATTTCGGTGCAAAAAAGCGACCCTCTGTACAGCCATGTCAGAGCTCCACCCGGCGATCGAGGATGACTTCCATGCCCTCTTCCATGAAGTACCTCATGACCATCTCACGCTGAACTCGATAAAACGGCAGGTCCCTCTCATCCTGATGCTAACGACGTTTCTTGCCGGGCTGCTACCGCTTACGTTAAAATTTCGTTACACCTGGCTGCAGTTGAGGCAGCTCTTCTTGAGCCTCGGAGTCGTCGATAATCGATCCGTCTTGCACCTTCTGATGATCCGCGTCACCTTGGGTATGCTGCTAACATCGTGTTTCGTCTGTTTGCTCCCGAAGACGCGCGAGCTTTTGGAGTTCGACGTCGCCAGAATTCCCAACGCGGAGATCCTCATCAGTTTCGCTTTAGCGCTCTTGATAGTGTACCAAGAGACCGTCGTCCACTGTCTCATCGACCCCGACGAAAATTACAACAAACAGAGGCATCTTTATCTAGTCTACTTCCTAAGACATCGACTGGATGTACCGAAGTTTCTTCCTGAAGAACCGCGTTCACCGAGAGAGCAGGATGAAGCCGGGGAAGAACCTCGGATGGTTGCCGTTCCCCCACCGTCGGGAGGCGACGATGCTCTGGCGACTCCCCGCGGCCCGCAGAAGATCAAATCGAGACCGATGTCGAACGTGGAGCGGATCAGAGAATACCAAACAGAGAAGAGGCTTTACGAAAAACAAATCAACCCGAGATTGAACGCGTCGGTGTCTGTGGGTGTGGTGGTTCTATTGGCTCATTCCACTCTTGACGGATGTGCCTTGGGAATGCAAGCCACGGTCAGTGAAACTTTCTTTGTCCTGACCTGCTTCTTAGCGCACCGGGCTCTGCTCGCGACGACGATAACAATAGAATTGATGTACTCAAACTTTTCTTCAAAAGCGATCGTATGGGTTATGTCGGTGTACGCTTGTGCCCCGGCCATCGGGGCTATGGTTGGCATCATGGCGGTATCCGATGAGCGACTCGCCCCATTATTGGGTATCGCTTGTGGTGCGTCAACTGCGGCTTATCTCTACACAATATTCTTTGAAACTCTGAGGAGCGTCCCGATAAATTCGGATTCCGCGATTCTTCTCAATTTCTCAACGTTCATGGGCAGTGCAGTTTCCGCGATCGTGATTATCCTCATCAAAGTACGACTGCACCTGAAGCCCTGAACTTAGACGAGGGCATAGGGGATCCGATCGATGGGGCGGAAAATCTTCGAAAGATTTCCGATCGCGAATCCATTTCGAAAGTCTTCCCGGAATCGACCGCTCCTTTGATCTTAAGGAATTCCATTCGAACTCCGGAATTTATCGTGAATTTTGAATCCGGAATGAATATTCGAAAATTCTAAATTACGTGACAATGACTATCATTCTGAATTTGCTTGTGACTGAATTCGAAACGGAATAAATTGTATTGATGACTTGACGATAGCGGAATGAGCCCCTCTCTCACAAGCAAACATTCTTTTTTGAAAATGACAATCGCCTGGTTTGACATGCTTTTCTGAAAGTTTCCGAGCCCCGGAGCAACCCCGAGTCGTTTTTCCCTGCTGTCCTGCATTTCATACCCCTTTCCTGCAGGCTCCGAAACCCGGAAAAAACACCATTTACATTGAAATCCGGGATATTTTTCTCGGATTTTGATGGAAATGTTTTCTCCCCAGGTTCCGAAGCTCGGAAAGACCCATTCCCATTGATATCCGAGCAAAATATCCCGGATTTCGATGTAAATGGTGTTTTTCCCGGGTTTCGGAGCCTGCAGGGAAGGGGTATGGAATGCAGGACAGCAGGGACTCGGGGTTGCTCCGGGGCTCGGAAACTTTCAGAAAAGCATGTCAAACCTGGTGATTGTCATTTTCAAAAAAAATGTTTACTTGTCAGTAATCATTCTAGGAGTAGCGTTCGCTCTCGTGCTGGGCCTCGTTCGGTTCCTTGTGATTTAGCAGCGTAGACCGCTATAAGGACTGAGCAAAGGGGTCGTGTTCGGGAAATGATATGACAAGATCCAGCTCACGGATCTCCGCTGCTCCTCTCACAGCGATTCGATCTTCTTAGCGTGTGCCCATCACGTCCTCCAAGTCAAGCCGATTCAGGGAATACCACGGGCTCATCTTAATCTCTTGGACCTCCCAATATTTGATACCGGGAACCGATAGCAATGACTGTAGATTTCGCTTCATTGTATCCAGTGCTAATTCTCCGGAAATGTGGCCGCTGAGTAAGCCTCCCACAGCCGATGCTTGACAATCAGATTCGAATCCTGGCAACAAAACTTCCGGAACGACCGTCAAGCAGAACGACCAGTCGGGCCCGGGAAGATGGGCCTCAAAGAAGTTCGGTGTCGTGGATGATTCAGATAGAGACGAGCAAGGGGCGGGAGCTTACCGTCGAAATGCTCATTTATTTGATTCGCTGCTCTGTGAATTCCCCCATGTACTAGAACGACTAATGGAGGCGGACGTTTATTCGCATCCTTGAAGCTGCGTACGCCAGGCTCACTCCGAGGGCGAGGAGACCTATCGATCTGAGAGAGTTTCGCAAGACCTGGAAAGCACAGGAATTTCCCGTGAACATTGGCCGTCGGTTCCCCCCTTACCCCGGCACTCCAGCTGCAGCAGAAACCCCCTCACAATCTTTTCTATTCTCTATCCCGGGGCTGCACCATGCATTCTACTGCAGGAGAGCATTTTTAACAGCACCCACCTTGTCCTGCCAAGCTCTATTGCTTATACATTCCGAGTACTTCATCCTCGAGAAGGTAACGCTCGTGTAGAGGGGAACCCAAAACTTCGGGAACATCCAGTGCAGAGACGAGTCGAATTTTTTCCTGAGCCTGAACCACACAGAATTCACCAAGTGTCTCATCTCGATGTAATTGTAGAGCGCAAGCTCCACAATTGCATGAGCATCCTCACGGCGAACTTCGCTGAAGGTCTCAAACGGCTTCTCGAGATCTGAGGTTCCCAATGCGGTGAACAGTTCGTCGAGAATGCTCACATCCTCGAAGCCCTGAACGGAGAAAAATTTAAGAAAAATAGAATTCCTAGAGACTTAATCGAGGACTGAGATCCAGGCGTTTCCCTGTTCTAGAATCTCGCAGGCGGGAGCAACTCACGCAATTCATCCCCTGGCCATAGAAAGGGACCATCGCATGCGCCGCATCTCCTAAAAGTAGCCCTCTGCCGCCTACGTGGTACGGGGAACACTTCACCGAAGCCAGTGAGCTGACTTCCACTGTCGTCAGGGTTTGAATGAGAGATTCCCTGGAATAAACCAATCGATTACTTGCCAGCCGACTGCAACCCCGAGCTGTGGCAGAGATCACCTGCGAACTCACCTTCCGATGAGAGGGATGGAGTCGGGGAAGTGCGTTTCGAAAAATTTCAGGATCTTCTCTGCTGTCGTCAGAGCCTCGAATTTCTCGAAAGGCATGAACAGCGTGACCGTATAGCTCTTGTCCTGATTCGGCAAAGCGATCATCATGAATTCGCCGCGGGGCCAAATGTGGAGGAAATTCACTGCCATTTGGAACTCGTTATCCTGGAATCGAATGTGATCATCGAGGAGATCAGGTCTTCCTCTTCTTCGATGTGAATTTGGTCAAGGCTTCCTTCCGATTCGGAGCAGAGACTCGGTTCTCATACTTTGGCGGGTATACACAGCTCAATGTAGCCGTGATCGATGTATTTCTGTTCGAAGTCGAATCGTCCGCAACGCATGACATCCTGACGCACTCTGGAGAACACGCCGTCGCAGCCTATGATAGCGCGGTATCCCGATTTCGTGACTGCGTCTCGATCCGGGGTGGAGAACTCCAGAGAGCCTTGATGGAATCTGGCCCTCAGCAGTTTATGGTCGAAATGCAGTCTCACGTTATCGTCCCTCTCAGCACGGAACAAAAGCAACTCAAGGAGATATTTCCTGCCGACCGAGTAGATGCATTGGCCGCTCGCGCCGTAAGGGATCGGCTCGGTCCGTCCGTCAACATTGTGGATCATACGAGCGTACATAGGGATGGCATGGCGCTCCAGAATTTCGTCCGCGACACCCAGCAAGCGTAAGGTGTGGAGACCGCGAGCTGAGAGCGCCAAATTGATCGACCGACCCACAGAGAGCTTCGAACTCAAACGAAGATCACTCCTGAGCTCGAACAGGTCCACGGCGAATCCATGGCGGGAAAGCATGCACGCACATGCTGCCCCGACCTGAAAACAGATGATACCCCTCGCATTCTACGCCATGAATGTATTAATGCCAATCCGTGTCAATTTCACCTGAGATTCTGATAGCGATATCGAGCGCGAGAGTGAAAGAATTCAATCAGGTTGAGTCGAATTGGACGAAAAGGAAGAAAAAAAGTGAGATAATCACCAAACCAGCGCCAACGACGGCTATCTTGTTGTCTTGTTGATCCATCGTTCGCGAATGACGAGTCGACGATCGGATGTCTCGAGGGGAGAAGACACAATCTTTAAGGGGCATCGTAAAGCATTTAGCTTGCCTCTCCTCGTCTGCTTCGCTCTCCTCTCCAGGGATTCCGAAACTGTGTAAGATGCTGCTACGAGGAAACGACTGATGTTCTTCCCGCGAGTATTCCGAGTACAGAGCCAGACCAGGACAGATTGGAGAGAGACAGGCGCTCCGCGCACATATAGTCAGCACGATATCGAGCTCTTCTCCATTGACTGCCTCGATGGAGCCGGGAGAGCCTCATTGGCACGTAAACCCCAGCGCCTCGCGGAATCACACTTTAGGGGCATTCGTAAAGGTGCGGCAGCGATCTATCAATCGTGAATTCCGGTCCCTAGAACATGAATGTCAAGAGGAACCGCCAGGGGTCGCTTTCAAAGGTTTATGGAGTCCTCAATCATCATCACAGTCACGAGACCCCCACGTCAGCTCCGACGCTAATTGCAACGAGTCATATCGAATCGCGAGACTCCGAGCGCAGGGATACGTCGAGGAATCCGCGCCGCATTATTCTAACCTCCAGAATAAGCCAATGATCGAAGTCGAATATCGTTTTCTATTAGCTGATGCAGCTGATACGAATGAAAACACGAACGGTGGTGATTGCCCGCGATGGATTCCGCAAGAGATGATTGCAGTCGGGGTCGTCTCCTCCCGGAGGTTCGGCATGGAAAGGAAGCTCCTAGCTCACGCTGCAGCCGGATCACTTACATAAATCGATCGAGGCTTTCTTGATTCAGATCTCGGATGAGGTTGCGCGATGCCCCTTCCTAGTTTATGCGCAATTTAATGACTAGAAAAGTAACAGATGCGCCCTTATGGAGAAGCCCTCTGTTCGGTGACTTCGGCTTTTGAAGCTACGCGGGCGATTGAGTCAAAACACCGCCGCAAGCCATGCTCGTGAGCGGACTCGACAATTTGTTTTGATGCTTGTGGCTAGACCGTCGCGACGAAATATCGAGCGCCCCGAATAATTTCAAAACGTGAGGCGAACTCCGCCGATGGAGAACTGTAAGTTGGAATGATCGTCGTGAGCTCTGATCCGTCGAACGAAAAGCCGATCTCTTTGAACGTCAGAGAATTAGAGTTTCTCGGTGCCAGTCATATGTTTCATGCATTGAATGAGCCACAAGCTCGTGAGTCAGAATAAGCTAAGATCATCGGTACAAATCTCTAATGGTAGAACGATTTCCTTGCAGTCCACTATGACGTGAAAGATGCGCTCCCTGTTCCGAGACCGTTCTCGGCCCGGAATGCGCCACATTTACGCGAACAAGTCGAACTCGGTAATTTCTGCCTTAAAGGCGACAGACAGTACGTTTGCGACAAATCCCGGATGATGTACTTGATTGAACCGCAGAGCTATGAGAATGTGAATTGGGATCTGAATATGGCGTTTGAGAGCCGTATACGAAAAATGAGCAATCTGGGAGAGAAAATTGATCATCTCCTTCGGTGGATCATGGACAATGTTGAGAAATTCCGAGCACCATGCGATAGAGAGAAACTGTCGAATCTGCACACAGATTTCGTCTGTTATCGCGGACTGCTGACCGCGATCATGTGTTCGGTATTCGAGAATAAGGAGTCATGGATCATGGGAGTGACGAAATATCGGGGCTCGATATACATGTGCCAATACGATACGGCCGAGAAAATACATCGCGAGAAATTCCAGCCGGAACGACTAATACGAGCTTCCGGCTGGGGCTACAAATTCGAGCAGTTCCTCACTGCTCCTAAACCTGGAGGAAGACCAACACCAGAAGAGCCAAATAACGAGAAAGAGGAGTATGTGTCTGTCGTCAGGACGAGATTAGGCGAGAGCCACTCCCTACTCTTCGGTGCGGAAATCGACGCAGTAGATCCCAAAGTTCTACAAAAGAAACCTCATCTGAAGCATTCTACTCGACGATACGTGGAGATGAAAACCTCCAGGCGGATTGATAACGACCGACAGAACGAGACTTTCCTACGGTACAAAACGATCAAGTGGTGGGCCCAAAGTTACTTGATTGGCATTCCGAGAGTGATATGTGGGTTTCGGAACGACGACGGCATTGTGGAACGTCTAGAGAGTTACCCTCTGGGCACACTAGCTCATTTAGGCAAGAGGTTTTGGAGGCAGGAAGACTCGGTGCAATTTTTACACACTTTCTTACATTTCGTTAAAAAACATGCCGTGGATGATAGAATCACGCTTTTCGAATTCATGCCAAGCAGCCACAAGATCAAGTGCATGCTGCTGCCGGAACATTCACACGAGTTCTCGCAGCTTCGAATATTGCCGCCTTGGTACACTGATTTCATGGACGGCGTTTTGGAATAGGGGAGGCTAAGGGAATATCGCGAACGCCTCACGAAGAAGCCCGACATCGGAAAACCCAAGTCACTGGTGGCCATGACGATGTCACCTGGGCCTTCCCCCGTCAACCTCGGGAAAGGAAGCGGAAGCTCTCTTCCATGGGAATGGGAACACATATGACTTTCGTTTATTACTTTCCGAGCCTTTGTAGCGCAAGATCATCGCTTGTGCGTTACATTATGTCAGGATTGTGTCGAGGAGACCGGGAGAACGCTCTGTATAATCTCTGTATATAAAAATCGCATGTATGTCTGTTTGTTCGCTATGAATCACAATGCCACAGAACCAACAGCCTAGATTTTCGGAGAATGCGATCACGATACTTCTGTGGAGGTTTACCCAGAATAAAATTTTACTTTAATCGAATGAGTTTCTCGTGATCGCGTGGCCTCAGTTCTCCGCCATAACTTTGTCGTTTTCTCTGATGGAAGGAGCTGATTCGACCTGTGGGCCTGTGGGCTGTCAGCTGTCAGTCCGTCAGTATCGTTGCTCAGTGGTGAGCGCGTGATTCGGTGGCGGTTGTGATTTAATTCGGTACTACTATTTGAAATAGGGTTAAAGTCTGCTCTTTCGTCAGTTATAGCGATTCAGGAGTTTCGCTTAAGCGAGCATCGAAGGGAGCATTTAGCCACTGACGCCTATACCTGCTCCCCGAAAAGTTGATCATTGATCAGCAATATACTGTCATTACGTTAGTACGCAATGCCCCCAATCGTCAATACATTGGTCGCTTATCACATTCCGCCGCTAAGCGGAAGGCTTCCCTGGCGCTGGAGACTCTGAGCAGAGAGATTCGCGAGCAAAATCCCGAAGACCAATCGAGGCTCGAACCAGTGCGAGAATGAGGATGGAAAATGATCGTCGCAAAATCGATGATGGGAAGCACAATACTGGCGCGCCGTAGAGAGCGGAATTCCCGATCTCGACGAACTGAATCAAGGCCTTATCAAAAATTATCTTGAGCTCGAGCGAGGCCGGAGGCGTCGATCGAGGACGTCTTCAGTCGAAGTCGAACCTCCAATGCTCCAATGGTGGTCTCGAAATCATCTTCTCGGAGTTCCTCGACTCATTCGTGGTTACAGGAACGATGGGGGAGAAGCCAAAAATGTGCAAAGTTACTCATCGAAAACTCTCGCGGAGTTGGCACGGCCCATCTGGAACCCATCGGATGCGTTGAATGTTTCCTCGATAGATCCCTCGAATTCGTGCTACAAAACAATATTGAAGACGATCGCCGAAGCGTGACGCTGTATGAGTTTAACCCCCAGACCCGCAGCGTCAAATGCATGGTCTCGCTGTGAAATGATTCTGATTTCAAATAATAACTAGTTATTCCAGATTGGTACATCGATGACATGAAAGAACTTTTCACATCAGACTAGAGCAAAGTATACCATAATTCCTTCTCTTAGACATGGAATATGGGTTGGAGGCGTAAGATGTATTCTCCATCAAGCGTGAAGCTTCCCTATTGGACCGTATCGATCCTGACCGCAGCTGTCATTGGATGATCGTTTCCGGGCATCGACCGCCACACCGAGGCCAGCGAAAAAACTTCGTTCGATCTATGGAGATCGTCCAATTTGTTCGAAGAACCGCATCGGTGCCGTCGGTCGACCCGAGTCGCTCTGAATACTTTCATGAAGACCTTTAGCGTCACTTCCGATTGGAAGATCCTCGAGTGCTTAGAAAACCGATAGATTTAGCGTTGCCGGGGTTCTTTCTTCCAGAGTATCACTACACCACTGGAGTCGGCAGAAGCCAGCATTTTTTCGTCCGCAGCGAAGCCGACGTCGGTCACGGTTTTCGAATGTCCTTGCAGAGTGTTGACCGGTGATGATGCATGGGAGGGAATGACGTCGAAAAAAATCAGGCCCCCGTCAATGCTCCCGGTGACGACGCACGATCCATCCCTACGAAGCGACGGAGATTGGGAAAGAGAGAAATTCAGTCATTTATCGAGTTTTGGGGAGCACGAGCTAGGAACCGTGAGAAATTCACGGGAATTCGCCGTTCTTGTGAACCCCGATTTTTTCCCCAAGATCTACCTGAAGGACATAATGGGCGAGAAACACGATTTCAGAGGAGCGGGAGTCTTGGATTCGGCACAGACGTGAATTCTCTTCTTGAGGACCAGCGTTCCGTCTTTCGGGTTCACGACCCCATAGACAAGAAGTAGAGTGCCACTGTTCACCTGCAATTCGGATGCCATGGGAGTCGGGGGATATTTTTACCACAATAATGAACGACTCGGGTAGCATCGGTTTCCCGAAAAGTCTCTCGACTTCTCACTCACAAGGAGACATGGATCCCGGGCCTGACGATTCACCCAGTGACGGAAAGAAATGCAAGTCACCGGCTTTCCCTCCGGAGCACAGAAGCGACGCCCCTTCAGGAGCTTGCCAGAGCTGATGTCGAATACGTATGAGTGGATGCTTCCCTGGAAACAAGAACAGTTCTCAGAGGGTCCGAGAAAGAATTCATGAGATCAGTCGCAGGAGGTTCTCAACTTCCGTCACCTTGTCGTCTCCAACCCAGAGTAAGGTTCCGCAAATGGAGAAGGTCAGAGCTTGAGCGCGAGCGTTTCCTTGTAGTTGCTGACATCCACCGCGTACGACCATTCCCGTAGAAACACTCACGACTTGGACGAGGCCACGAGCGTTCGCCATCTGCAATGTGCAGCGGTTCTTAGCGATTCGAAAAGAGCCGTAAGCGGGAAAAGCGACGGATTGAAAAAGAGGTCCTCACGTCTCAGGCCTACACGAGACGCACCGCAAGCATGTTGTTATTCGCCGGTTGGAAAGCAGCACACATGATCGGTACGGTGTCCTTGATGCTGCGCAGAAGAGACCCTTTCGCCGAGTCCCAGACCGACAGGGAGCAATCAATCGAGCAACAAATTATGACATCGTTCGAAATTGACCACTCGAGGTCGACGATCGGACCGCTGTGAGCAGGAATCCGGTGAAGGACCTTCGGAGAACGAGGAGATGTGAGTATCGAATGACAACCCTGCGCCGCGAGGATCCCGAATGTTTTGACTTACCTTCGGCGGGTCGACTTGGTAAATGCAGAGAACTCCTTGAGAATCCGCAACACACAGGAGGTCCGGATTGTTGTTAGCGAAGGAGAGACAGTTGACGCAAGAGGACTGTTCGAATATATGGTGAACTCCGGAGAATGTATAGGATAATGATAAGCTCTCGGTCATCACGCCGGCCATTGCTCTGAGAAGGAAAGGAACATTATTGCGATTGAGGAAGGTTTCCGCCTGAATCCAGGAGGAGCAGGAGGTGACGATCCTTTCATGGAGAAAGAGGGACATCATGAAAAATGCGCACCTGCTGGCGTAAGCATCCTTCGAAGGAGTAAGTGCTTCGTGGACGGACGACGCACTCCAGGGTCGACCACTATCCGGTGTTTCGTTGCATAACTGATCCTGAGTCTGGGAGAATGACAGGATGCGTCTAAGGAAGCGGATTTCGAAGGATATTCATTCATACGTATATGCGTTTTAGTCGCTAATCTTCCCGCCTCAAACCTGGAAAGAATCGCTCCGGCTCGACCGCCTCTGCTCGGGACTGCCATAGGTTGAAGTCAAGATTTGAGCTCTGAGTTTCAGATAGTTCTTATCAAAACCTTGGGAGCCTGAGTCCCCGACGACATCCGCCAGGAGTTGAGAGCGCCGCCTGAGATATAGATTCCCTATAAATATAGGTTTCTGATTAGTTCACGAGCTGACATGTGTGGGACGATGCGGCTTGTTGCGGCGCCCCGATATACAATGTACACCGCCGTGCATGTTCTCAGGATAGAGTTCACTTTGGTCGATAGAGTCTAAGGATGTTCCCCGGGAACACGGAGGGGAAAACTGACAGTGGGTAATCCGATGACATATCGAGGGAACTTCATGAACAGATAACAACACGAATCCTGCCTTCGACTTACTTATGCAGGGATCCTTCAGCGAGTTCCATCTCGCGTCCTGGGCCAGAATGTGCTGCCAACTAGAAATCATCATTTTCGATTTCGATGGGCTGAAATTTTTTTTGCTCGTATTAAACATTTTCGGTCCCAATCTGGAGGCTCTTTCGGTCAGCGGCGGGACTGCGCCTTGATCCGTCTGAATTCATGCCGTAAAATTCGGAGAAATAGTGAGCATCCATTAGGAGAGGGTGAAAATAGACAAAAATTACCCGGCTCAGTCCTGACATATAGTTCCTACAAAGTGCTTAGAGATTTATCAGCGTGTTACATTGGAACTATATAGTTGGGAAAATTCGCAGCTCTGTTCCGAGGGCCCCGAGCCCGATTGACTCATTCTCGGACCCGAGCGGCGGACCCATCCGAGTTCGCGACGGGGAAATCAGGAAGTCTGATTCACGCTCTCTCTCCTCTTAGACGTCAGAGGCTCATGCATCGACCTGGAATTCACTCTGTGATGGCGTAAGGCTGTCCGCCTGACGCCCGGAGCAACTTTCCATACGCTCAGCAGACCGTACCATTGTACGCATTCTGAATCTGTGGGGAGCCTATTGACGCAGTGCAGCGGGGGTGAAAATCGAACAGCTGCCGGATCGGCTGATAGCTGGATGAAAGTGATGATCTTTGATGAAGGGTTGAACGCGGTCGGGCTTTCTGCCTGCACAGGGGCATCCCGCTGGGGGAATTCCAGGATAGGCTGACACTTCGATTGACTATGAGAACAGATACTAGGTCGGGGAGGCTCCGCACCTCTCGATCTCATTCACCGAAGTCTCAGGTGACCCACCCTCTTCCGGATTCGCTCACGATCATCAGCGCCTGCGAGCCCTGTTCTTCGCTCGCCGTGAGGCTGTCCCGTGCTTGAGCGACCTAGAAAAATTCTCGAACCACGCTCGAAGCTCTTGGACGCAGGTTGGGACGGAAAATGTGCATGGAAATCTGTGACGTGGATGAGTAAAATAATCGGGACCCCTCCGCTCCGTAGATATCGTAGGATCGCGAAGTGGAGATGAGTTGAGCGGCCCCGAGGAGCTCTCGAGTCCTCTCGGGTTGGCCATCGGTTGGACCAGTCGGTCTAGACACGGAGGATTCGATAGCAGCCGTCGGAGTCGATAGAGCTGTCCTCTCCGAGGCTGCAACATCCGGAGATCCTCAATCGCAATAGGAGTCGGCGGTTTGCTACGAGCTCGAAGCGAAGCAGCTGCTTGGTGAGCAATTCGAAACTCGACAGACTCCCTCTGAGAAGAAAAGGCGCCCTGGGGTTCGGAAAGAGCTCTCTCTATCGTTCGGCCGTTCAGAAGCATGGGACACTTCAAACGTTCTCTATGCCCACCGGTGATCCCTCGAGTGACTGCGGTTCTTTCTAGTGGCGCGCGCGACCGCCATACATATAGCAGACGACTTCCGACGTTTCGCTCCGAGCTCGGCACCACCACGTCTTCGGTGCTCTTTGACAAGCACATATACTGGCTGCTGGGTGCTACAACAGAAACAGCAGCAGACCTTTGGTTGTCGTAGGTGGTGGAACGCTTGTTTCGTTAGAGCGCCCTAGGAGCGCTCTGAGAGCCTTCGAAGGCTCGTTCGAATCGAGGCACCTGCCTGCCAAAGGCCCGCGTCAAAATTTCGTTTAAGACTGAGGTGATGGCGGGGGGCGGGGGACCACAGAGCCCGACGAACAAGGTGTTCGTCCAACGGGACTACACAGAGGGTACTGCCGTACGCTTCCAGAACAAGTTCCCGCAGGAGCTCGAACGCTACGTGGAGCGTCATGTGTTCGAAAACACCATCAACACATTGAACAATTTCTACCGACAAGCGGAGAAAATAAACTCCAGCTCCTTCTGTGAAGGTAGGTTTCCCAGAGGTTCCATAGTACTCCTCCTCCCTCGATTTCCTCGCGACTCCGTCAGTCCGGAGCTCCGGCAGCGATGGATCCCGAAGAACAGGGGAAGGTCTCGGTTGGTCGCGTGGAGACTGAGGGAGCCGAGAGCAGCACCTATTGCCGGGTCGCTTCTCAATCGCCGAGCGATGCGCTGCTCGCGAAACAAGCGGCAATCGAGCTCTTTGCTTCCGTCTTCTTCGCCACTGCTCCGAATCTCTAGCTTCGATTCGCTCATCTCCTCCTGCATGTGCGCGATGAATGACTACTGGGCCACGACTCGGCGCTTTATTAGATCCTTACCCCCGAGCTGAGACACCGCACGATTACTCGCGGAGCTCAAGCGTAGCGCTTCCCAGCTTGATTTATACCAACTATGGCTTCCATGCCCATATCAGGGAAACGATTCAGATGCGATGTTTCCTGGCTCGATCTCCCGTTCTCATGTCGGGAAAGTGAATATTCGAAGTATCGGGAGTCGAGTGATATTCGAGACGTCCCTCCCCGGACCACGAGACGCCCACATATGGCCCGGCGAGACCCGGAGATACACCTACGTATACGGTATCTCCTAGGGAAGGAGGATACCGGAGGACATTCTTCTTTCGGCAGGGTCGAACATCACACGAATACTCCTCTGAGGTACCGTCTAACTCCTTCGAAAGCGCGAACGGAGCTCGAAGACAGATTTGTAGCGCTGGATTCTTGTGGCTGAATCGCGGTTGATCCAGACTCATTCGATTCTAGCCATGAGCCGCGTTCAAGACAACCCGATACCGACCGAGAATGGGGACTTCCATCGGACTCAATATGATCCTCGGATACCTAATCCCGCCCCTGCGAATGAATATTAGCGTAATGAACACACCACTATCGATAAACGTCCATTGACCTGAGTTTTTCTTCCCCAGGATGCCTGGCGTGTATCTCAGCCTATTTGTTGTACCTGTGTGTGGAGACTCATTACGAGAAGTACGTGAAGCAGGCAGCGAGCTTCATCGACCATCAGAATGAAACAATTTACGTACCAAGGGGCTTGTATATCACGGATCCTCTCGAGCGAGGCCTCCGAGTCATTGAGATCACTCTCCTGGATGCCAGGCCTTGAACGTCGAGTTTGTGCCTACGCTCTTCAAGGTCTAACATCCATGTAACCACTAGTCTCGGACTCATCGGCGGCGCGCAAGCCTGGCCACAATCGATCTGCTACGAAACGCGGGCGTGTCAGCCAGAACAATCGCGACAGCGGATCGGAGCCAAGGTTCGAGCGCCGTGACATAATTGGCTTCCGACTGTTGATCTAGCATTCCTGCTGAAGAAAAAGTCCAACCCGCCCGACGAGAATATGTATTAGTGAAAATTCTATGGGAGAACGCTGTGAAAAGATGAATGGTGATCATATTCAGAACTTTTACGATGAATGATGGAATGATTGCCCCGACGATAACTCATGACTCCTATCCTTTACGGACGTGATAATTGATGCAAGTTTTATATCAAACTCCATCCACACTAGCACCGAGGAGAACCCGAAGCAGCTTGCTTCGTTTCCCGGATCTGTCTCACACTGGTAAGACTCGACGACGACGAGGACTCAAGATCTATGACCGGCGACTGCATCCGTCATGTCTGAGATTGCGACTCATTGTACAAAAACATATCCTCCCATCAAACGAATCTAACCGTCGACCTCATTCGTGTGAATGATCGCTCCAACCCTGACCGACACTCGTGAATTTGGATCAAAGGTGTCAATCGAATAAACATGAATTTATCCCGGATGAATCAGTGGTGTTTTTCCTTCATTGTCCACATTTTAACCCGGTAATCCGCGTCTGCTCTCACTCTCCCTGATCTCTCGAGGATTTCTCGGCTCCCTTCCCTCCTGCTCAGAGCTCGTCCCGGCTGATCCGAGAGGAGCATTGGGAGAGTCCTAGGCTGTGCGAGAGAACGTGAGGGAGTGTTCAAATCTAATTTGAGTATCAGCCTCATCATCCATTCGCACCGCCCGCCGTCCGAGAGACGCTTAGAATGTCTTGAAGTTTCGTGGTTCCATTCCGGGGAGCTTGTTTCGTGAGAAGATTTCCTCTCTGCATCGAGAGATCTTTGAGAAATCGACCTTAGAAAAGGATAACTCCTCCCACGATGATGACATCCGCGATCACCGAACGACTTTTCTACGAGACCGCAGTTTTTTGGGATGACTTGAGAAAGGCTCCGGGGTACAGACGGATCGACAGTACTTTCATCCCTGGGACATCGGGGCCTTCTTCCGCTCTCAAGACTTTCACTGTGAAGCTTCGGACAACAATTGGTCCGACCCAGCCCGGCTTACGGTAATATGGCACCGAAACATGAGCCGTTTGATGTCGGTCTAAGATATATACAAGTTTATTCTGCGTCAGACGACGTTATCCGGCTCACAGTAGATAAAAACCAAACTTGAAACACTAAAATGCAGCCTAGCAGGTGAAACCAGTCGTTAAAACATCGAAAGACCCGAGATTCGGAAGCTTCAAACCTTGAAAATACAAGCAGTGCTTCACGGTAATCCGACCAATTGGGCCAATCAGTCTTCCATACGAGTGAATGATCATCTAAAGATTTTCCGCTAGTCAGCCAACACTCAGTCAGTCAACGAGTCAGTCGAAATCGTGCATGGGTATGAGATAACACTCATGATCGGCAGCTTCCTTCAGGCAGACGTCGTCATCATTCAGTGGTTCAAGTCCTCCTGAGCTTGAAGTTCCATTGGTTCATGATTTATTTTTATTCGCCCATTCCGAGCCAGGGTCCCATGAAACATAACTTAGGTAAAAGTGAGTCCAGCCTGTGAGTAGGTGAGGATGATCTTCTCGATCGAGTTCACGTAGGCGGCACTGCGCAGATCGAGACCGAGATTGTATTTGTGAGCGGTCCTCATGATTCTCTGGGCCGATCGTTCCATCGTGTAATCTAGACCAGAGTGCACAATATCCTTTTCCGAAGCTCCAGAGATTTTTTTCTGGAAGGCTTCCGATGGGGTGACCGGAATGTGCCCACCCATCTTTCCGAAACGTCGTTCAAGAGACTCTTGAACGGACTGCAAGAGGTGATAATTGGATTCTCGCTCATATTTGAACAGGAGTCGGCCGTACGAGACGTGGTTGAGGTTTTTCAACCACTCGAAGTAAGAAACGGTGACACCGCCCGCATTGATGTACAGGTCGGGGATCACGAGGATATTCCTATCCATGAGGATTTTATCCGCGGCAGGTGTGGTAGGTCCATTGGCAGCTTCGGCGATGATCTTGGCTTGGATTTTGTGGGCATTGTCTTTCGTGATGACTTTCTCCATGGCAGCGGGTACGAGAATATCGCAAGGCTCGTAGTTGATGTTCTCTCCGGTGTAGGTTTCCGCGCCGGGGAAGCCCATGATGGTTCCGTGCGCGATTTTCCATTCCTCAATTTCTTTGGGGTCGATTCCGTTGGGGTTGTAGATGGCACCGTCGACCTCCTGGATACCGATGCACTTTCCACCGGCTCTCGTAAGGTAACGGGTGCAATGAAGACCCACGTTTCCGAGACCTTGCACAATAAAGGTCTTGCCCCCCCAACCCGGAGTGGTCCCTGGGAAGGCGAAGATACTAATGAGAAACAGCTCCCGCATCCATAGGCGAAGACAAAGATCGTGGGGGATCCACAGAGTGAGAATTTCGGATTGCGAACTAACCGATTTGACTCATGTAGGACGCTTCGTTAATGAAGTTGTCAAGGCCGTGGAAGACACCTCTTCCGGTGGCGGATACACGTCCGTGGATACCTCCCTGATTGATTGGCTTTCCGGTGACACAAGCGTGAGCGTTCAAATCGGTGTGACCTGTAAGTAGCATTCGGTTTTTTCTCGGAACTCGATAGATCGCCGAGGAGGAGCGGGTCATGATCGATCTCGGATTATCAATGGAAGCTCGACCGGATGGTTACCGATTGTTTGAGCATACGTGTCCGCAATCCAGGACATTTCTCTCTCTCCAGTTCCCATGTCGGGAGCGGGTACATCGACCCCGGGGCCCAAGAAACCTTTCTTGGAGAGTTGGAGAGCGAAGTTACGCGTGATTTTCTCCAACTCGTGTTCGCTGAAGTCGCGCGGGTTGATTTTCAGTCCCGCCTTGCCTGCAGAAGGGATGTGAAGTTTAGCTCGAGATTCATGGCTGCTCCTACCGGAAGGTTCATGAGTTGATCATCGGCCAGCGACGGAAGGGGTGAACACCTCAACGAGGAATACTTACCACCACCGAAAGGTACGTCCACAACGGCGCACTTGAACGTCATCAGAGCCGATAGGGCCTTCACTTCGTCGAGGCACACATCGGTCGAATAACGGATGCCTCCCTTGCAAGGAGTCCTGTGCAGCGAATGCTGCGCTCGCCAGCCCTCAATCATAACATATTCTCCATTATCTCTTTTCAGAGGGAACGAGACCTCAAGTACGGCGTGGCACGGGCCCAGGAGCTCCAGGTATCCGCGGACCTTGAAATTCGAAAATTATTCTCTCATTATCGTATGGGATGTCCACCCATTCACACATCATCGACGGATCTTCCTCCGGATCATCGAGATACTAGGCCGGTTCTCGTACCTTCTTCCTTTTTTCTTCAGGCGTCATCTTGCCTTTGATCTCCTCTGTCAGCTGATCCTCGACAATCTGCCATCCTTTGTGATAGAAGTACTCCACCATGTGGAAAAAGGATGGATCCTGCGCCTCGGGAACATACTGCAGATGTGTTGGAAGCTGATGATCTGTGGAAGGGGAGATTATTGAATACGCTGACCCTCAGGAGAATCGATGAATGATATCGTCTTGGGCGATAAAAATCTTCGATTCCCGTCTATACGCGATCCTCGAGGCTTATCGAACAGATCCTCCTATCGAATCAGCGACAATCGTCAACGATCGAAGAGCTTCGACGTCTCGCATGATTGAGATAGTCAGAGGGATTATCCTGCGCCCGTCAAGTGATCATACGCTACTGACAAGATATTCCCGTCCGTTAGGTGCTTAGGAAGCGGCAATGCTTTCAACGCGCCAACCGCATGATCTCCGGATTGCCTCAGATCCACTCAGGTCGCTCGCAGCCAGCACGGCCGGGTTGCACGACGACAACTCGACACGATTCCATCACGGTTACATTTTGATTCTCCAGATAATGGAATTGCATCCGAGGCGTCCAACGACATCTGTCGTTCCCAGTGTCGGCTCAAGGAAGGGCTTTCGACTTGAGACACCGGAAGTGATGCGTACGACCTCCCCTCACAGAGGCTAAGAAGAAAGTGATATCTCTACAAGCGTGTCCCGCGCGAGAGAGCTCCCATGCAACACAAAGGCGAACGAGGCGGAATATGTTGCCAGAACTGAAGAGACGCTCCTGTTAGAGCTTCCTCCAGGTTGTTCAATCAGTTCTAATCAGTTGCATCAGCAGACGCTGTTATCGTCGGATTCAGCGAGAGAACCGTCCATTCGAAGTGGACTAGAGTGTCCACAGTTTGAGTGGCCTTCTGGCAACAATAACATGGGTTCCGTCGACCGAATTGATTATAATTGCAATCCTAAGCATCAAAGCATACTACATGACTCAATCAGGCATTGAAAACCCAATAGTTTTTGGCGGCTCCAATCAAGACAGAGAAATTCCGTCGGCGGTCAACCATCGCCGTCGGTGTGACTCTCCAGGAGGCATCGATGGATATCTCAATGATCTCGCAAAATTGACCTCGAATCATGCTCTCGCCGACCGAAAAAGTCCCGAATCGACTCTGACCTCAGAAGAGTGCAGACGGAGCGAGTGAATACCATCATGGCTCGGGGAGATCGCCTCCTTGAGGTTGCGAATATTCCGTACCCCGGAAAAGTGAACAAGATTGATAAGGGACAGATCCCGGAAGTTGAAATACGAGTAGAGTAGAGCGAATCAATGCCCATGAGGAAGTTGAGATCGGTGAGAGCCGAGAGCCGATCTATTTTCACGCCTGGGATCATCATCTATGCCGAATCCTCCATAGAATCGGTGCCGGGACAAACCGACCTTGACTGACATTTTCTCGTTCGATATGAGACCCCGTTCGAAGTCATTAGTCTCTAGAGGTCAATGCGACAGCCCGCTCGCAGGGCATCGAGCCGCGAACCGGCTGCGAACGCCAAAATCATTATATAAACATGAGAGATCAGCTTCCAGATCGGAGGTGAAGACCGGTCTCTCTTTGCGAACAAAACGCATCCGCTGCAACCGGTATCACTTCGGACGAGGCATCTCCGCACTCAACTCTTTATCGAACCGGTAACGATTCGCGAAGCTCTCGAATTTCTCGCGTCAACATCGATGCGAATCGATCTTCGTCTGTCATCTATCGTCGTGCAAATCAATGATTTCAGGGACCAATCAGGGACCAAGCTCCAGCAATGTCCAGCAGCAAATATCAGCTCGCGGAGCACAGAACGCGATGCGTTCAATCGAACGGGGAGTGAACACCCTTAAGACTCCTGTTTGTCGTGAGCGGAAGATCGTGCCGAGGGTCTCCTCGACATCGGAACTCGATTTTTTTCCCGTTTCGCGAGAAAGCCGCAGGTTTCGTGGAGCGGATTGCGAGCATCCTCTGGAACATCGGGCCGCGGCTGTGATTGAAACCAACTGGCCGCTCGGAAACCATGGAGTAAACCAGATTTGTTCCTCCCGGGTGAACATCCACGGAATTTCCAGAAAGTGTAGCTATTGAGGATTGCAAACGTTAGCCTACGGCAATACAAACAGAGACTGCTAGTTTCACTAGAGGGAATCACACGCTTTACGGCGAACCTTTATCTGACCCCGGGCGGGCACTCGACACTGTAATCAATGAAAGACCTGGATCAGCGAAGCGCGCGTATTTCTGCCGCTCGAGATCCCACGTCCGCGTGTTGCAAACACATGCGTCAAAACGAGAACCGAAGTCCGATATTCCGGCTTAGCTTTAGAGCGTTCCCGGAGACACGGAGGCGAAGAGCCCAGTGCGCGAGAGTCGACGACCGAGACCGCGCTGGCTGTATGTAGGTACAACTCCAGAGAATAAGCCACGACCTGACAAGCTTACCAGACAAGGCCCGAACACCGATGGGAGCTACGTATTTTGATCGTAGGGCCAAAGCTCCTCCTTTAGACACTTGACGAAGCATTCCGGCAGGTTCTGTGTACCAACAATCGAACGAAGAGACCAACTACGAGTGGAACGACCTCTACAATCGGATGAAGCTGCCTGCCGATGGTGCCCGTCGTAGAAGTAGTGGTCGTCGTCAGCGGCGGCAGCCATCACCTTTTACGCTCTCTCAGCTTCCAGCCGCATCGCGCGCTGACAGCGCCAATTCAGCCATCGACTGCGGGACTCCGCGGGCGGCTGATCTCGAGGTGGCGATGAGAAATTTTCGAGGGTTCATTCATCCGTCTGAGGAACCCCCATACTCATTGTGCGGACTCGACCGGGGGCGAATCTTGGTGCTTAATTGCGATACATCGGATCGCGTCGGCTTAGAGCTTTGATGGAGGCCGCGCGGTTACTAAATGTTCTAAATGCAACGGGGTCCAGCCCTTCACGGCTCAGCGCGATCCGAGGGGAGCTCGTAGAACTCGGCGAATCGCGTCGGGGGAACAATGAAAACTCGAAATAGCTATTCGAATATGAGCGTGATACGAATGATCGTCATATTTGAGTGATGAGCACATATGTGATTTGTTAGCCTCCATTCGACTCAGGTCGCAGAATCGCATCACCTGTCCCGAGGCCTATTTCCAGGAAGAAACTTCATTCGGGCCACGTTGGCGTGAGAGCTGCGCGGCTGAAATTCGAGCATAGCGGGAGTAAAAACTGTATGCTATCGCGCTCTCATCCTGAGCTGATTGGAGGGTGCAATTGATGGATGGGTGCGGTGCTATATCTCAGAATCTGCAGGTGGAGACTGAGGCTCGCACCGGCCGCAACTCCTCTCTGACGTACTGAGGGTTCAAGGAGCGAAGCTCTTCTCTGCAGAAGTTTCCGCTCGCAGCGCTTGGCACGACATCCCAGGGAGAGGTACTTCAGGGAACCGGGCCCATTCGATCCCTGTGGAGTACTATTCTAACCGAACGGGAGATGGGCGCTTCCTCTATTCCGGATATCTGTATGTAGGAGACTTCTCATTACTAATTCTGCTTCGCATTTTTCGGGGTTCGGGGTGTTGACTGCCTCGGATCTTCACCCGCAACGCAGTGCGGTTGAGGTAGATCTAAGGGTTGCATCGTTTTCGAGCTTCTAGTCGTGAAATGAGGATATTCCTTGAGGATTCCTCGTCTTTCCGAATGATCAAAATTGGCCGCGTTCCCTTACAGAAGCCACTTCCTCACGCTCACGTTTCCGCAAGCCCTCCAGCGATAAAATCTCAACCAGTTGTTGTCGAAGAACTGAAAGGTGTCGCTGCCTTTCTGAAGAGATTCCATCATCAATGCGGAGCGCAGAGGAACCCCCGTGGGGCTGATGAAAGTGTGCCCCGACTCGAAGGATGGCAGTCAGGGTCAGGGACGCAAACTGGAGGTCTGCATGGGTCTCTCGTGTAGATAAGTTCCCATGAGGGTCCCTGATGGGAGGCTTCATCTGTACTTTGGAGGCTCGACGAGGCCCCGACCGTGCTTCTGCTGAAACCAGACATAGAGCTATCAGCAACGTTCTCTGCGGCTCATCACAGCATCCCGAATTCCTCCAACCCCCGTTACGACGCGTCAGGACATATTCCGCGGTGACTCTTTCTGCTCGATACGAGCGCGGTCGAATTGGGTGCTTGTCTTCTGCAGGGAATCGCCGGAGCGCCCCGTATTTTCTCATGGGGTCTCGGAGCAATCGTGCGCAGAGGTGACGAAAGAGAGCCCCGCCGGGCTGTCATATCCGATTAGTATTCCGGATATCCCCTTTGGAAATTCCAGCGAATGCGTGCTACTCGATGAGATGGTCTCCCCGGCGGCCGATCCTGAGATATCCCGAATAGGGGCTTCGAGATCGTCGATGTGCTCTTGCAGTCATCGACTGCGTATATGTTCATGTCACCATTTGAGCTAGAAACACCGTCTCGGGTGATTGGAATCACCGCTCACTGGTCTGCCATACGGAGAATTCAGAATGCTATGAGTTTCTGAATAGTGCTCCCCCGACTCCCAGCCTTTGTGAACCCCAAATTTTCCCCGCTGCCTAAGCGGTTTTCTTGAACGGCCTCGAAGAGCTGATCAATTTCTACTGGGGAATGATGATTAGAATTGAGATTTCGCGGGTCTCGCGAGACACCAGAGCACGAACAGGTGAGCATCCGATCGGCTCAATCCGGACGGAGAGCTCGAGGAGCTGGATTTTACTCAATTTATTTCCAGGATTTCTCTGCACCCCCTGATTCATTCTAAGAGTGATGACTACTTTGTGAATCTTTCACTCTATGGAAGCATCTGAGATCACTTGGGTGTGTAAACGGTAGTTCCAAAAGCCGCTCGCGGAATACACGCCGTTGTCAATGATCTGAGACTCTGGATGAGTCCATAGGGTGGAAACCAGATGCAAGGTCGCCCAGGAGCATCACTCTCGCTAGAAGCTGCGACGAAGTGCCACCGACGTTCGAGCTCCGTGATAGTCTCCGAGAGGGGCTGCTTTCACATTCGCTCGCTCATCGCATGTACGGCTAATTACTCGGTCGTCTAGTCTCGCTCGTGCATCTTTCATTAACCTTTGATCAAAAGTCCCTTTTCGGTGAAGATGAAAGAATGGGAGCGCCACGACAGCGCTCCAAGACGGCGCTCTCGATCTCTTCCGGAGATCGGGATCTCTTCGGCATCTCCGCTCAGAAACTGACAGACTGAGAGAGCTAAATTCAATTACCGTCTGACTTCACATCGGCTCGATGAATAGAGTCAGTCCGCGAGAGAGGTGGACGCTTCGTCATTGAAGACGGGCTCCGAGACGAACGCTGAGTCTCAGGCAGGGAGTGTTGGGTCCATGAAGCGAACTTCGGTTGCTGGAATGCGAAAGATTCCTCACATACACGGGCTCAGAGCTCAGAGTGACATCCGTCTCGCTGCGGCCATTCTGCGGTTCTCAGAATGCCGAGATCAGTCAGTGCGGGAGACGGTCGAGAATCACCGCGTCGTACAATGTATATTTCTGAAATAGGGAAAAGAGAATATCGGACGGCTATCGAGTTTCATCACACCATTTTCTATCAGAGAGGCGCTTTTTTTCCGATGAGCTCCGCAAGTGGAACATGCTGCCATAGAATACTCGGAGTTGTCGGCGGCGACCAGAACATAATCGGAACTCGGACCGAACCTATCGGCCAGGTCGGCCGGAAGGAGGTAGAAAGCCCGCCTCCGGATATACAATTTGACCTGTCTCATAGGAGCACCATCTAATGGGACCACCTGAGGTAGACCTGAGTTATCGGACCACTCATTGGAGGGACCGACTCGATTCGTTGCCAAGTTAGACGACTCGCTCAATGGGACCACCTGAGTTATCGGACCGCTTTTTCTGGTGCACGGCGGCTGGTCCTATAAGACAGGTTTCAGTGTCCACATGCTGTGCTGCTATCACAGGGATTCATCCGGCGTGAAGGTTTTGCCTGACCTGGCGAGTCGAACGATACTCTTCGAAGTTCACGTCTTGAGGCTCCTCCAGGCGGTACTCGAGCGGCAATCTTTCACCGGAGATTTCCGCAGTCAGCGCGATTGGCAGAGATGATCGTTCAGATTGTTGTGAAACTCCTCGAGAAAACAAGATCGCCTCATTCTCTGGGCTTTCCTCGTTCCTCCCTCAGCCTCAGGAAACGAGCGAGTCCTCACCGGTGCAAGATTGAGACGATACTCTGCTCCTCTGAGCCCTCTAGGCGCTTCAAGGTCGTCGCTGGTGTTCTTCTCGTGAAGGGAGAGAATGGATGAGGCATCATCAGGTCGATGCTGCGCTAATTATCCATACTTTTCCCACCCGGGTGCTCGATATTGTTCCTACCGTGTCCTTGGCCTTGATGTCGGGGGTAGGATTTGACAATGGGGCGTTCAGAGCCCTGCGAGCTCCTTAACAGGATTTAAGAGAGTCTTCTGACGCGAGAATGGGAGATTTTTCTCTGACGGGCTTGCCTGAAGAGAAATCCAACTGTACGCGACCGTGCTCCTTTGGCAGAAGGGAACCTACTGCGAGTTCTTTCGGCAATGCTGCAAACCTCGACCGTTGACAGCGGTCTCCTCGATGGAACCCTCATGATCGAGCTTTACCACAATAGTTTCATAGACGGCAGCTACCGTCTTCGACGACGTCTGAATAGGATACCTAGCATCCTGCTCCCCCGGAGAATCAGGGCGCTGATAAACGGGCGAGTGTAAAGGATGTGAGCAGAAGCAGGATGGAGGTCAGAGGGAGAAGGCAGGATCGGGAACGATAGCACAGCGATGAATACCGTGGGATGGCAGACTGCTCTGCGTGAATGGATGGGAAAATTGGGAAACGAGGGGGGGGGATGCGAAGAGAACAGAGGCTAGGCCATTGTGGTGGATTCCAAATGCCGACTGATCGGTCGGTCGATCGCTCGCACGTCCCGCTGGGCCTCTGGAGTATCGCTCTGAGTGTCCACACAATGCGGTTGTTGATATCGCGGGGAAGAGCTGGCAGACGTTCCAATGGAGGTTAGAGGTGATTTAGGCGTCCAACAGTTGGATTCTTATTGGGAGAACTTATGCTCGCAGTGCATCGTACCGTAGGATCTCATGTCAGCGAGGGAGGCGAAGCGGGGAGAGGGAAGATGGTTCTTCCTTCACCATGTCTCACCATCGATTTCCTCGCACCGTGGGCTGATTGATCAGAGCCCTCGGCCCGGAATAGGATCTCAGCTTGACCATTAATAATTATCGATAAGCTCCCGCGAATTGACTTCCTATCCGCCTTCATGGGCCTTGGAATTCGGTCGTGAGCTTCATGCAGGGGATGGGGGAATTCAGGAGCAGGAGCACGATTGGAGGGGAAAATTCAAAAATTCGTGGTTGAGTAAACAGTAAGTAAGTCCTTTTACTCTGCGGAAAGCGACTGCTAAGAGCGCCCTCGAGCCAAGACGTCACACCTGCTTCCTCTCAATGGAACCGGAAGGGAGTATCCTATTTAGAGAGTTCAGATTATGTGGAGTTCAGACTTCTCATGCCGAGCTATACGAACTTATGTATGAGTATACAGTATTCCGATCTGCTAGTGATGACCCGCTCAGCGGTTTGCTCAGAGCCTGCTCAGAAAGCGCGGGCAGCAGATGGAGTTTCTGGTAAATT